TCTCAAGGAAATATTGGACATATTATATGGTTGTAAACAATATATAGGTATATGCGTGCATATGTGTGTATATCTATATAGTTTCTTTATAAAGAAACTTACCACGCTATTCACCTACTTCCTGTTTTAATCTATCAAGCGTGGCTATACAATGTTTGTATGTTTGTTTGTATGTCCGGTATACAAATTCGCAGTAGTTCACTAATTCAAACCAAAATTTCCATAAATAGGTAAAAAAAAATACGGGGAAGACGATAGGCTATTTTAAAAAAATATATATCAATTATTAAAGCTATATATTCAAATTATTCTACTTAGCTCACGAACAGCGCCCTCTATCAAAGATTAGATTAAATTATGCTGATGCAAACAAATAGATAATGCTAATAACAAACAATTATAAAAAAATCTTATCTAAATATATATCACTCGGGTAGATATGCACACGGGTCAATCCCGGGGCGAAGCCCGGGTCACCCGTCTAGTATGTATATATTTTCAAATTTAATGATGTAACTGTAAATAAAATTCAAAGAATATCTCTATATGTAAATAATATTTATGAATCTTTATAAGTTACTTTCTGTGTATCTTTCCATGTTGAATATTTTCTTTGTTATATTTGTATGTACATTTAGCGCAAGTGTCCCTAGGGGGACATAGCGTTTTGAATTGAGAAATAAATAAATAAATAATAAAAGCCATTTTTAAATAAATAAAGCCTAAAATATATTTCTACTTTTAAATCAACCTAAATACACCACAATATCAATGTGATGTTCATATAGCAGTTCACTCAGCTCTCCTTCTGTGTTCCATTTATATTTAAATGTAAGATGTTCAGGGTCCTCGTAGCATGATTCCCACTGATTCCCCGAACTGCAAGTGTGTCGGCTTGCTAGGACACAGTAGCATAGATTGTCAATTTCTGATTTAGTTTCTCCATGGAATGGAGAGGTACCATTGCCCCGTTAGTCAGCCACATTTCAGAATTCACAGTTACTGTAGCGGCTCGGGGCTCACGACACCGTACTTGGTCCTACAGGGCAGTCCCTTACTTGTGCTTCTTCTCCCCACGTAGAGGAGGACTTCTGGGCGAGAGCTTGTACGATGTGGCGTTGTCTTGTCCCATGGAAAGGAGGGGGTGTTATTGTTCTGTTAGTCAGCCACATTACAGAGTTCCCTGTTCACTGTTACCGTAGCGGCTCTCAACACCGTACTTCACCCTACAGGACAGTCCCTTACTTGTGTTGCTTCTCCCACCCGCCATGTAGAGGAGGACCTCTGAGTAGGTAAATAAATCTCTGTGTGTATTATAAGATTTTTATTGAATATTTTATTTTACAAATTTTAACATCTATATATCAATATAGTATGGAAAAATTATATTTTAAACAATATATAAGAAATATAAAGTATAGTTTTGACGCATAACAATTTTTTATGAATTAAAACAATTTTCTACTGTCCTTACTGCAATGATATGTATGGGAGGGCCTGGTTCATCAGTGTTTTTTTTGCTTATCCCTAGTACACGTGGTACAGGCCATGATAATCATGGTGGGTAGTTAGTGACTGCTTTTACTGTAAGCGCACCACATGTCTACACATATGAAAAGCAGTTCGACTTTACACTTACAAAGATTCCAGAGCCCCGTTTGGTTACTTGCACTCGTTGGTGGGGTTGGACTTTTACAAGAATCGAGGACCATTGGAGCATTTTTTTTCAATCAGAAAAAGTGCCCAATGCGAGAATATAACCCGGGTCGTAGCGGTCGTAAACCAACGGTTTAGACCATCCTTCCCACCGACCCCCCTCATCAGTGGTAAACCCTCCAAGCGTTTTCTCCAGTTTAATCTACCATACCGCTGATATATTGCATCACTGATTAGTCATCCCCTCTCAATTTTCTTATCATTGCAGCAAGGGCAGTAGAATATTGTTTTAAATCAAAAGTATCAGAAGTGTCAAACATAGTTTATATTTCCTATAACAGTGCTAATATATTGTTACGTAGAAAGAAAAGCACATTCCACAATGGAGAGATAATGTTTTAGAACGTTTAAGAATCATGTAAAAAAAGCGGAAGACAACTGATTGGCCAATCTAAAGCTATTGCGCAACGCTCGGTGCTGGCGGCTTTCTGATTGGCTGACCAACCGTGACCGTTCTGGAAAGATCTACTCCGGGATATATAGGGATGAGAAACTCATGCCAGGGGAAGAAGAAAGATAAGAAAAAGAAGTCAAAGAACGAAGCTACGTGGTGTACTCCAAGCAAGCTGCTGTCTCAAGAGGTCGGACTGCTGCTTACCGCCGACGCCGGTGTACTTCCTGGAAGATTCTAGAAGGTTCTACGAACTTCTGTCTCCTGTTCTGCTCCTGCTTTCCCTCACCGTGCTGCAGTTGGTGAGTTTGTAACTGCTGTGTTCTTTATTGTTGTTTCATTTTGGACTATTCTGTAATTATTTGATATCGATTAGGCTTAAATAAAGTCTTAAAGATCCTTTGTACCCACGGAAGTTATTCTTTGTCAACCAACAACGCAACAATATTATATAAATAATTTATTTTGTTTTGAAAATAGAGCAATCCATATTTAATTCATTAGATAATAAAAAGACATATATTGGATTTAATAAAAGATTTATTTGCCAATATTTCGGTTGTCTGAACGCATTTATACAAAAATGTAAAACCTTGATTATTATTTATTTTTTATTCAACACAATTGCAGAATACACGCTATATCCACAATTCGATATTCACGTGTGAAATATATACCTTTGAATGAAATAAAAAGTAGTTTAAAGGGATATATACATATTTACATATCAGTATTGATTACATTAGTAGTCACTTATTTAGTTAAGTAAATTCTGCAGAATTTGTTGAATCTTTGGTGTATGTCCTTAGTGTAGACCACATATTGCATATTTGTTATGGGAAGTTTATTTAGTTCCCTAAGGTCAGCGGTCAGCGGGCAGTCAGTTAATAAGTGTCTGGGGTTCTGTTCTTCGCCTCCACACGAGCATCCAGGTGATTCAGCTTTGCCAATTTTAAACAGATATGAGTTGAAGTCGCCATGTCCAGTGTAAAATTGCACATTATAGAAGTTAGGTGTGATATAATTAGGAATTTTTGAACCTTGATAAAGGTTGGCATTCAGCCAACCGAAATATTGGCAAATAAATCTTTTATTAAATCCAATATCTTACTCTCTAATTAATATTGTATGTGTTTCTGAATAGAGAGAAAGTTCTAAATTGAATTTTAACTCTGTTAACAATACAGGTGTATTCCGACTTCTATGTCTTCAAAGCTATTGTGGATAAACTAATTAGTGTATTTCCTTTCAAATGCAAACAAAAGGGAGCAGCCGTTTCTGTCCTGTAATTAGCGGAATAAAATTAAGTAAAAAGAATTCGGTAGCAGAGAACTAAAGCTATGTTGTTGTTGTTTCTTATCCCCTTGCGTAAAGATTACACGAATTCCATGCGTTTATGATCTCATGGAATGGGGTGTAGGGGTGCAGCTTTCATTGATCATGGCACCATGACACACTTTGGTGAAACTTTGCCTGTAATTTGAGGCTGTTCCTAACATGTGATCTCATGGAATGGGGTGTAGAGGTGCAGCTTTCATTGATCGTGGCACCATGACACACTTTGGTGAAACTTTGCCTGTAATTTGAGGCTGTTCCTAACATGTGATCTCATGGAATGGGGTGTAGAGGTGCAGCTTTCATTGATCATGGCACCATGACACACTTTAGTGAAACTTTGCCTGTAATTTGAGGCTGTTCCTAACATGTCTTCTCATGGAATGGGGTGTAGAGGTGCAGCTTTCATTGATCATGGCACCATGACACACTTTGGTGAAACTTTGCCTGTAATTTGAGGCTGTTCCTAACATGTGATCTCATGGAATGGGGTGTAGAGGTGCAGCTTTCATTGATCATGGCACCATGACACACTTTGGTGAAACTGTGCCTGTAATTTGAGGCTGTTCCTAACATGGAAGCTTTTGCTGCTGACAAAAACTATAAATAACTGTGAGGGTACACACCCAGCAATATATAAACATTTTTGAATAAAAAGAGTAAAAATGTAGAAGGAATAATATTAAATTTTATATTCCCATCCTCGTCGCCAGTTTTCTTTTATCCTAGAAGGTTGGGAGGTAGCCAAGAGTGAGGTGTCGCTTCACTGAGACAAACGGACTCCAGTAATTTCGTTTATTGACATAAATTGACTGACTGCTGGTAGCTAAAAACTGTCGCTATTTATATACAATATTCTATGAAAACTATTATGCAAAACAGGATATTTGCATATCCATAATTCAATATGCAAATACACTACAGTAGCAAAGTATTTATCATATTTTATGTACAGAGTATTAATTCTCTCTGAGAGATATTTATATTATTTATATATTTATATTCTCTCTTGAAACTTCCCTCATTGCTTATTATTTATCTTATAAATGTTGATTTTGTTCTTGATTTAAATAAATTGCCGTGTCATTCTGAAGTTTATCTTTCCTAATTTTCTACGTAACAATATTGTCGCGGAGATAAATAAAGCAAGGGCAAGTTTGGGAATAATTAATTTATTATAAAGGTGGGTATTTATAGGGAGAGAGAGGGAGTACAACTTACCCCAAGTTAAAGATAATCCTAATGAGCGACGTCAGCCACCGTCCCGTTTTCCTTATTTACAGATCAGCTTCCGAGAACCCCTCACACCTGTGGTCCCTCCTGGGGTCCAGGGATGATTGTCAGGTGTCCCATCTGGATGGAGCTACTTGACAATATATATATATATTTCTGTAAAAATTGATACTTCAGCTAGTTAAAGTTTTATTTTCTTTACGTTTCAATAAAATTATTTTTTGTATTCTTCAGTAGAAATAAATAATCACATCACATCAATCACAATCCGCACTATATTGTATTATAAATTACCTCATATATTATTTACGAACGGAAAAATATGTCCAGGGTAGCCTAGTGGACATGGCATCTGCCCGGTAAGCGGAACACTGTGGGTTCGCTTTCCATTCCTGGACACTTTTATTTTTCCGTTCATCATTACTCTTCTCAATTCATTCTTCCATACCTCATCCCTATGGTTATAAATAATCGTTATTTCTCCTTAAAATAAATTTTGATTTTTCGTTGAAAAGAAACACATGCGGGATAGTTTTCAAATGTCGTTTGCTGTTGGATGCAATCAAAGATATGGTGTGGACTATATGACAAACTACGGAAATGTGCAGATAGCCTTGACTTGCTGGTTAGAGCTTACACACAGGGGAGCGTATGTTGTATATATATGTAATATGATGCAATTGTTATTTCACTGTAATATTTGATGTATTACACTGTTGTAGAATCCTGTCGACTTAACCGTTCTGTGGCAATATCGTTGCGGGGTTTCTTGTTGTTGGATGCGAATGGTGAGATTTGGTTGAAGCGCAGTCGTTGAGTGGTAAGTGAAGCACACAGTTAGGAATAATCAGGACACGTGATTGTTTTGAAAATAAAAGGCAACTGGGTTGGAGGGAAGAAAGCTTGAGAAGAGTTGAGCGATTTGACTTATTAATTAGTTGATCACATGGCGATGATGGGATTTAGATGAAATGAGCGGAGAGAGAGAGATCTCTAGAGTAGATGTTACCTTGTTGGAAGCGAAGGAGCAACTGAACAACTGTAGGTGTTGTTCCTATGAGAGCGAAAACGTAACTGACCATTCTTGCTTTTCGATTTAACACCAAGACTCAGTTTCTCTCTGATTGGTCGAGAGATGTCACATGATCTTTTCTTATTGGTTGACCTACTTAAGGTGTTGTCTTCTGATTGGTCGAGAGATGTCACATGATCTTTTCCTATTGGTTGACCTACTTAAGGTGCTGTCTTCTGATTGGCCCGCGGCTCTCCTTGATGAAAGATATGGTCTGCCTGACAGGAAGTGTCGAGTGTTATTTACTTCCGCGTTATCAAAATACGTCCTGCTTTGTCAGGAAGTATTGTGTGCATCTTGACGAATATAACTTCTGCGGTCACTAGATACGTCCTGTTTTTCCAGGAAGTGTTGGTTTAAACTTAGCTCGCAGGGACCCGGGGTCAGAAGGTTAACTGCGACGTTATTAATAAATATGTTCTCCTCTAGATTTACTTCCTATGTCTTTTGTTACTTTCTTTCCTCCAGTTACCTTATTCTTTTATTAAATCTTTGAAAATCATACATGATACATACATAGTGGGTCGGGGTTGCATTTAATTATATACAAATTATGACAGATGCGCCCCCTACATGTGAAGAATTCAAGAAGGGGTTAGCCTGAGAGAATTCTGTAAAGTGAAAAATAATTTTGTGGGAAAATTAGTTGTGGGTATTGAGTCTATATACAAGCATTGGTGGCGATATAATAAGTAAAATAGAATGGTGTTGATGATATAGGTTGAGTATAATTAATAGAAATCAAAAATTTTTTAATTGTAAGAAATCAATGAATGTTATGGTACATAGTGGGCAAAAAAAAAGGAAAATGCGCCTAAACGAATTCTACTCGAGATAAGAAAGGAGATCGAGGGAGTTCTATTAAGGTTTTTGAAATCAAAATAAAAACAATATAAAAATAGTTGAATGAAATCAAAATTGAATGTTTTTGGTTGAAAAAGAAAAATTGTTTTGTTGCATGGTGATAAGGGAAAATGCCTAGTTACTTTTTTTGCTCGAATTTGGAAAAGAATTCGAGGGAATTTCATAAGGTCTTTTGAAATCAAAATAAAATAAAATAAAAGTTTTTTGAGCGAAATCAAAGTTGAGTGCTTGGTTGAATGGTGAAAAAAAAAAGGAAAAATGCCTAACCATATTCTATTCGAGATTGGGAATGAAATCGAAGGAATTCTATTAGGTCTTTTGAGAAATCAAAAATAAAAATAAAATAAAAGTTTTTTGAGCGAAATCAAAGTTGAGTGCTTGGTTGAATGGTGAAAAAAAAAAAGGAAAAATGCCTAACCATTATTCTAGCTCGAGATTGGGAATGGAAACCGAGGGAATTTTATTAGGGCTTGTGAGAAATCAAAATAAAAATAAAAATAAAATTTCATAAGGTATTTTGAAATCAAATAAAAATAAAAGTGGTTGAGCGAAATCAAAGTTGAGTGTTTGGAAAAAAAAGAAAAATGAACAATAAAAAGGTTTCAACAACAAAGGGTGATTTAATGTTTTTAGTTTAATCGAAAACCAATGAGTTTTCGTTGATAATTGAGTTGTGGCAGTTTAAGCTAAGTGGTAAATAGAATGATAATTGATAAATAAAAATGATAATATAAACTAATTGGAAAATAAATGATAATTGATGATTAAAAGTGCTAATAAATTGAATAAATTGATAAATTGATTAAATATTTAAATTTTAATTGAGAGAAAATAATGAAAATGATTGATATGAAAAATAAGGTGTATTGGTTGGAACCCTTTGGTATCTACATGCCCTGATCTACATGTATTGGTTGCTCCATTTTGCCCTATAAATGTTTTACTTGCTCAATTATGCCCTATAAATTTTTTGTCTCATCTGTAGCGACACTTAGGTGAAAAACGTGATTCTAGCCCTCAAGTGCGTTTATGCTGTGTGTACAGGAGACATGGAAATCTATATAACCTTTATGTGTAATTTTTTGTCTTTGTGTGTGTGTTGTGAAAAAGTGTTAGAAGTCTGTTGTGTAAGAAATGTGTGAGCTAGTTCTATGTGTTGTCTCGTGGATGTGGAATTGGGTGGTAAAAATCGATATGTAGACTCGAACTGGAATCAAAAATCGGTGGCATAGCGAGGTTCCCAGTTGACCTCAATAGGGGATCTTCTCATTGTAATTAGAGATACGGAAGTGGGGTGTGTCGGGCAAAAGAGAGGGAATGAAATTGGAGATCGGACGAGGCGTTCCGTTTTGTTTGCATAGGCTGGATTTATCGCCGCGGACTACACTCCCTGTCGCGGTGTCTCAAAATTCTCATTTCCTGCCGTCTATTTATTTTGGGGTGTGGCTCGGGGCTTGTTTTTGGAGCGTGATTTCTCCGACACTGGTTGGTCATCTTTCAGTTACTGTTATCTTTTCGGAGTTTATTTAGATTTTCTGCGAAGATGGTTCCTAAAATTATGAGAAGCTTTATAAATGTTTGTCCACAATGAAGAACTGCTTGTCCAAAATTAAAAACTACCTCTTGTAGTTCGAAGATTTTCTGCGCGGGCATGGCATAGATAAACAAGTAATTAATGAATAAAATTGGGATACAGTTGTACGGTAGAACTAATAAACAAAGGGTAAAAATCAGATGAAAGATAGGATATTGCCCCATGTTCGTCCACATTTTTGTAACTGGGGACTCTGAAATATTTGCTTGAACCTTATGAATTGTAGAATTTGAATGATTGGTGAGATAAGAGGCAGCCAGCGGGCGACGTCCCACGCCCGTGCTTCCCACGTGACCGCCGCCGCCGCGCATGCGCGCCGGCCGTGACGTCGCCACCGGGGGCTGCGCGCGCACTTTTCGAACACCGCCTGATGTCAGCGGGCTGTTTACCGGGCGTCGCTTCAACCTGCGGCGGTTCCTTCTATTATATAATACTCTAGGCGCTGGTAGAGTAAAAACTGTGCTCCATCTGCCTCTTATAATTGTATGTAATCTTTGGACTTATTAAAATAAATTATTAATTGATAGTTCTCACTGCAGCTCGAACCTTTACCCTAACGCGGTAGAACATGGCGCAGTCGACATTCGGTTAATTATAGCCGTTTTTTAAGTGACAGCTCAGTGACAATTAGTAATCAAGATGCCCTCAAGAAGGAATCGCCGACCATCCCAAACCCCTCCAGAGAACCCTGCCTCGCCGACCAGCACCGACATCCTCAGTTCCATAGCCGCACTGTTGCAGCAGATGGCTACTCGGAATCCGACACCGACAGTCCCATTAGGAGCTCCTCCTCACCACGCCACAAAAATCATCCAGCTTCCTAAACTGGCTTCCCCCGGAGGAGTTAACGATGTCTTGTTTCCGCGATTGGAAACAACGTTGGAACGACTACGTGGACGCCCAACAAGTAGCCACCTTCCCGCTATCCACACAGCAAGTGACTTTGCGTGCCGCCCTCCATTCCGAATGGACCATCCTTTGGCAATCAGGCCGCCTTCATATTTCTACCACCACCACCCTCGAGGAAGCCGTGAATGCTCTCGAGGCCTACCTACGCAAGAAGCGAAACCCCCTCCTTGATCGGCAAGATTTTCATCGTAGGGACCAACAAACCGGAGAATCGGTGGATCGCTACTTCGCAGCCCTTAAAGCTCTTGATGACTCGTGTGCACATGAGCTGGATTTTAAGTGCAGCACATGCGGCGACCCGTGTATTACAATATGCACAAAAAGAGCTTGTGGGAAAACGTTTGCCCTTGCTGGTTATCAACAGCAACTCCGTATCCGTGACAGGTTAATATGTGGCCTGTTTGATAAAGACCTACAACGAAAAGTACTGGCGGAGCAGTACAATTCCGACCTCTCCCTGGACCGAGTCCTCTCAATTTGCATCGCACATGAGAGTGCTACCGCCGTGGGCGCGACTCTTTCAGCCTCCCCAACCACCTCCCCCGAAGCCTTCATTGCAACCAGACGTGCACCATCAACCTACAAGCATCAACAAGCCAGCTCGTCTGAAACCTCACCTAAGGCCAACCGTTTCTTTCAAAACCCTATGATCCTAACGACCCCTGCTCCGGTTGTGGTTGGTAGGTTCGCATTTCTCCTGTTTGATATCTTTAGGGAGTGGTGTGATATGATTGAGCTGGTTGTCAGGTTTACAGTTCTCCTGTTTGATCGTCAATGGTTTTATTAGAGATATGTCGGCGGTAATTGGTTTAGGTTGAGATGTGTGATCGTTTCTCTGACGTGGGTGTGGTAATTTTGACATTGTTTGTGTTGTGTGTACGCTGTGCTTTATGTACGAATTTTGTTTTGCTTTGGTGCCTGTGTCGGTATTTTTACGTGAAGGTTGGTTGTATTCATCG